TTTTTGATAGCCTTCCTTTTTAGTAGACGGTAGACCTCTCCTGGAGCTATCTGGTGTTCCTCTTCCCAGGTCCAGTTGCTCCAGTCAGTTCTATTAAGTTGGGTATCACCCTCAGGAAATAGCGATGTAACCAACATATCTAAGCTGTCCCTATCTAATGTCTCTGTAAGTCCCAACGTCGGTTTTCTTAACTTTCTTAGAACGACTTTGTATGGGAGCCCCCATGGGTCTTCGTCAATCGTCGCTATAAGCTCTCTCCACGCTTCTTGTTTAGCTTTATGGATCTCTTTACGTAGACGTTTCGTTTCCGCTCTATAATCTCTTCTGAGTTCCTCTATTACTTCGGGACTACTCCTCCTTTTACTTTTAGTCCAAGCTCGTTGTTTGACTACACATCTTCTCCTTATCTCCGCTAAGTTTTCACTCCACCAGTATGTAGAACATTTCCTGCTTCTTCCTTTGAATTTTGGTGCTGCTAAGTCACAGGCCTCCATCATTGCTGTGTCTAGCCACGTAACCCATTCCAGCCCATTGAACGATAAAGTATCCTCCACTGGTACTGCCGCACACTTCCATTCTAACGCCTCAACGAACATCTCCTGGCTTAGTTTTTTAAAGTTCCAGGATCTAGGACCGCTTCCTCCGGAATGCACATTTGCCGCACTTTCTAGGGTCATGGAGATGTACAGATGATCCGATAAGGTTACCGTGGATTCTATATTCCACTCCGTTATCCTACTGACCATATCTGGTGTACACCAGGATAGATCCACCGTAGAAAAGCCTTGTGGGCGTATACACGTAGGTTTGGTTCCTGTATTTAGCAGTCTAAGATCATTTTGTGCTGCCCACTCTTCTAAGTATTCTCCCTTCTTATTAGGTGAGGATGCTGACCATTGGGGGGATCTAGAGTTGAAGTCCCCACACAGGAGCAGCTTCTGCTTACCTATGCATTGATACACGTCATCCAGTTCATCTAGTGCTTCTAGGTATTCATCCTCAGTAACGTTTGGTGATACATAAAACGATGTGAAATAGTATTGGCCATATTTAATGGTAACGCTATTTCTTCCTGCTCTGTACAATGCGAATGGGTTTTTAATCCTCTCTGGATTCACGTATATCGCTGCACGCCTGTTATTACATCCAAACCACGCGGGATTGATCGGAATGTGTATTGGCTCCGATACAAAGCTCACAGTAATATTTGTTTCCAGCATATACTGCGTCATTAGATCCTGCGCTTTCCAGGAATGGTTTAGATTACACTGTAGAATCTTAATCTTCATTGGTGGCGTCCATTGGCTCCGCCCTCCGCGCGGGTTCTTTTCCCTCTATTCTTGCGGGAACCGTTTTCCCAGCCTCCTTAACGAGCTCACATCGGAATGAGCCCAGACGATGGTTACCGTCTCTTCCTTCACTTGTACACACAATACATCTTGGAGGGCTACTACAATTACGAATAGAGTGTCCAGCCTCTCCACAACCATAACACGAATTACTTCTGTCCACTGGTGCATTACATGCCGTTTTAAGGTGACCGAATCTCCAACAGCGATAACATTGAACTGGTCGTTTCTTTAACAGCTCTACCCTTGCAACTGTCCAGCCTATCTGGATCTTTCGTGATGCCGAGATTTTCAGAGCAGCCGCTAGTGGGCATTGCGCCCACACTGTATAGAGGCCATTATTCATCCTGTTTATGTCACCTATCCTGATCTCATCGGTTTTGCAACCTCCTTTATCCTCTATTGCGAAGATTATCTCTCCTTGAGTAACCGAACCGTCGAAACCGATGATCCTAATCTCACCTTTTATGGATGGTCGAGCCACCCTTATATCCTCTGGTAATACCGCTTTAAGCTTCTCAGCCAGTGCGTCAGCCTTCCTACCATTCTCAGGGCCAGGAATCTCAATGACATAACCTCCGTTCGCTGCTTTCCTGAGTTTAGACTTATCTATACCTAGTTCATTTAACTGGATATTTTGCCTAGCCTTCCGAAGTATCTCATCATAGGGAGCATCTTTATCCTTGCCTGTTATCGTTACCGCTGCGGTCCTTGGAATATGGCGGACTGGCGGGGACTTTTGTCCTGCCTTAATCTGTGTCGGTAACGATACCGGTCGGGGACTCATCGAGTTCTTCCCATCATCCCCTTGGGTAATCTTTGCACTCTTTATGCCTCCCTCCTTGTCCTTTTTCCCCTTATTTTTCTTTCCTCTCTTGACTACTTCTGTCCAGCTTTCTTTAGCTCCCTCTTTCATTTCCTTCTCATCCCTCATTTCCACCTCCTCCTTCTCTTTC